AAGGGCATGCATCGCTACTAGTAGCAAGGGCATGCATCGCTACTAGTAGCACGGGCATGCATCGCTACTAGTAGCACGGGCATCGCTACTAGTTACTAGTAGCAAGGGCATCGCTACTAGTAGGTTCTTGCTACACCTGTCAGGCGCATGAGAATGCCCGGCTGCCCATGTTGGCAAGGCCCGTGGCGAGGCGACACATGGGGACGCGAGCGACGCGACGCACCGCAACGGTGCAAATTCAGGTGTGCTCTCAACATGTCTAACATGAACATTTTATTGATTTTTTCAACACAACCGAAGCCAAGCAAGGAAGAAGAACTCGAGTGATTAATTGAGTGTCATGAAGTGTACAAAGGCTCACTGCAGCTATAAGACCCTGTGGTGGCCTCTAAGACCTGCTAAGAATCTGCTAAGACTGTGTAAAAAGACCACAGTTGGGAGAGACGAGTTTGCCAGGCATGTTGATCGAAGTGGGGGCACGACTGAAGCGACCCAGTCTCAGAGCGGATCGGTGTGGTGACGACGCCTTTCGCTGGGGGAACAAGGCACTTAGAGGCAGGAATTGAGACTGTTGCACGAGACACAACTGCTTGCTTTAAGGCCCCGCTTGCGCTTCACTGCCACCATGCAGCCAGTGCAGCCCTCCAGGGGACCACCCTCCAAATAGAGGACCAAACACATGGGGCAGCGACGGTCTGATCAGGTGATAAACTTTGTGCGACTCAGTTTTTACCGGACACAGTTGACATGGTGGAGTGAGAAATCCTTATTGAGGAGGACATACAGTGTGAGCACATTCGTAAGCAGATTACGCGTGGAGTAGTAAGCGGTGCCCTGGCTTATAACTTAACTGGGCAAACAAAGCGGCTAGAGTACAGTGATTCCTTACGACGGAGCCACGAGCACTTGAATTTGGCCTTGAAGTTTTGGGACAGTTTGGGAACATCTGAAAGTCGGCCTCTTTTTAGGGGGGGGGGAGCTATTACCTTGCTTCTTAGGCTTTGCGGCTTGGACGCACATCGGCTCAGGCTCAGGCTTCTTCAAGGAAGCCCCTCACCTGAGGGCAGGGAGCTTCCTTGAAGAAGCCGGAGCCTTGATGATTCGGTTCCAAGATGTTTAGGGAAACTTGATTTCAACACGGTATTTGCAGTACATGTTAGTCCTGAAAATGACACACAGTGTCATGCCTTTGCTTCGCCAACCGTCATGAACCTACTGAATGAAGAAAGAAGAAGGACATTTGAAAGTTGAATCTGGAGTTCTTGAAGGCAAGCTAGAGGAGGAATTGTGTGTGAAAATATGTTTGTCACATGTCAAATTCAGTGGATTCAACTTCGGAATCTGGATCTGTATGAGTGGTAGCAGGGGTAGCCTTACAGTCATGACAGAAAGTGCTGAAGGAGTGCAACAAATCGAAGCCAAAAAGGAACCAGAAAGAGATGAAACGAATCCCAAGGAAGCTTCTCAAGGAAGCTTCTAGTTACCAGAAAGCATTACTAAGAAGCTTCAAAGACATTAAAAAAGCTTCTTGTTACGACAGGTGAAACGATTCCCAGTGAAATGATTCCCAAGAAAATACTGTTTGCCGATCTTGTCAAATTATGAGCACGGAGATGTCCAATTTGCCGATCTTGTACTGCCTTATTTGCGCGCGGGTTGTGTCCTCCCTTTGGATGGCCCTTGTGTTCGCCTATGATTTAGTTCTTGGTGCTGCTGGAACCGGACCTTTGAGCTTCGCCCTGGAAGGAGTCAATCAACGTCTTCGCTGGGTGCTCGAGCTTGGCCTTTTTTCGGATGGGCTGAGCTGATTCCACCGATTTGGAGGAACTTCCAAATGGAAGCGCCTCAAGTGGATGCGGAGGAGCTTCCAAATCTGCGGACAAAGAACAGCTTGTTCAAATGTAGAACTCAAAAACGCATTACTGCAAACTTGTGAAACACACGAGCACCACTCATCAAATGGCTCTAACTGAGCTGAAAGCAAGCGTCTCACCCGAGTTGCACGGTTAAGGATGAGTCACACCAGACATATTCATACATGTTCAGGTTGAGCACAAAAATCAGTCGACAGAGTGAGAGAGTGTGTGTGTTTTGTTTGTTCCAGCACCGGACATCGCTGGGTTTCTGTTGAACGGCCACATTTTCAGGGAAGAGTCACTTTGCTCTTGGAGATGAGCTTCTATTTCAGGGAGAAAGTTCCGTACCATGTCTTGGGCAAGAATTCTAAGCTCTTTGCCCTTAGGCTCAGGTCCAGGTCCCAATCTGAGAACGACCATGACCAGTTCATCGATTCATCCGTGCAACAACCTGGTTGGAGTTCCGAAGCCTGTGCGATGGTCGAAGCCACCCAGAGATAGCTGAAGACAGAGGATGGTGATGGATTCTTTCAGATTCGTTTTTTGTGAGCAAAGAAAAACAAAGACTTGCTAAGTTTCTCAAAAATAGGAACCAAATGATTGGTGCGAACGTGAGCTATCCTGCATCCTACCTAGGAGCTAACTTAGCCGCTTAGCCATTTCTCCAAACAGTTTACTGTTGGGTTCTCTCTTAGGAAAAAAATAGCTGGCCACAGTGGCTGCGCCCCTGAATGCTGTGTCCGGGTCTCGTCCTTCTCTTGTCCTTCTGGTGCTTGCAGTTTTCCTGCTGTTGTCCTCTGGCCCTGTGCCCTCCTCTTGTCCTCCTGGTGCTTGCAGTTGTCCTGCTGGTCCTCCTGGTGCTTGCAGCGCTGCCCAACCCTGTGCCCTCCTTTTGTCCTCCAAGCCTCTATGCTCAAGTTGGCCAACATGCCAGCCCCCCAGTAGCGGGGTTACGATCCCGCCACACGATCTCGCACGACTTTGAATGGTGGCCGCTGGCTTGTTCTTCCAGCTGCTGCTGATCGGTTGGCTGCTTCTTGGGCATCCCGGTCCCAAGTCCGGGCGTGGACCTCGGTGCCTCAGCGAGTCTTGGCAAAGTTTTTGGTCCATGAGAGGTGAGGGTTCCCTCTGGTCCACGACAGAGGGAGGAGGAGACCCGACCGGTCGAGTTACCCCTGGTACCCTCCAAAAGAACTGTGGAATAGGGCAAATAGTAGGCCCCACCGGGGCACAAGGGCTCAGCTCAACCTGGAGCACGAAGAGAAGCTTTAGGAAAGCGGTGCACCGCCTGCTGAGAGATGGCTGCACTTCATACAAAGGCCGCCTGTGGATGACCACCCAGCCGAGCTGTTTGACACCATCCCTGGACGTCCCAGCATCTCCTGTGATGTCAAGCGGCTCCAACATGCATGCGACCTGGGCGACTTTTCCCTTCCTGAACCGGCCTGAGACCCTGCATCAGAAGACTGGCGGGCCACGCTGCTCCTTTCTGTCCTGGAACGCCGGAGGGCTCACCAGCGCCACTTGGCAAGAGCTCATGTTGTACTTGAGTCATCATGCGGTTGACATTGCATGTATTCAGGGCACACGCTGGCATCTCACCAAAGACTGGAGCACGTATGGGTATTGGGCCCTTTCGGCCGGGACAGAGGACCGTAGAGACCATGGAGGATTGTTGACCCTGGTTCACCATCGCTTGTGCGGCCAACAGGACCTGTCAAGTTCCTCGCCCATACCTGGTCGCGTTCAGCATGTCAAATGCCGGCTGGCTCAGACGACCCTCGAAATAGTCCAGGTATATCAATACACCACTGAAGTCACCTCCACAAGAGCTAAGCCGTTTGATAGCCGAGCTGAGGTCTGGTCCTCCTTGGACACCATCCTCAATCACCTCCCTATCAGGAATGTTCTTGTTGTAGCTGGAGACTTCAATACTGACCTCCATAAACAACCCCATGAACCGCAGGATGCCTGGGAACTTCGTGAGCTCTGCCGCAAGCATACGCTTGCAACGGTTCGGCCCTATGACCATGCACACACCTTCGAAGGTCCCGGAGGCAAGTCCACAATTGATCATGTCCTAATGAGACGATGTCAACAGGATAGCCAGGTTAAGCACAGCCGAGTCTTTCAGTCATTCCCGGTGGCAGGGTGGAGAGCACTTCGTGACCATATGCCGATCCTAAGCAGTCTTCCTGTCCACTGGAAGGTCTGGCGTAAGCTCCCCACGACTCGGAATCGACGTTGGACTTGGCATCAACGCCAGGACCTCCAGATGCACTACCGGGCCCAAGATGACGCCTGGCAGGAGTTCGTGCCTCAAGCCCAGGCCCGCCTGCACGTTCAGCATCCGACATGGTCGACTCTTGAGCAGGTCAGTCAATGGTCACATGACTACTGGATCCCTACCTGTCCCCCCTGTCGCACTGAACCTGATTGGAGACACCCGGCCAGTCACAGGTATGCCGCCACCATGTGGTCTCACTATCATCAGCTCAGGCGCTTGGTAGTCACTGACCTTCGTTCGAGTTTCCAAGCCTGGACTCACGCCGCCATCCATAGTCGACTGCATAAAGCCATGACTGTTCATGCCCACAGACAGAAGCAGGATCGGTTCCAAGAGCAAATGCACCGAGCCGCGCAGGCCGACAGGGCTCATGATCAACGTCAACTCCACATGATAGTCCGTGAACTTAGCCCTAAGCAGCCGTCTCGGCCAATTAGATTCCGCACAGCCACAGGGCTAGCCCAAAGCCCTGAGGTCGAACTGGACCTCCTTCGCCAGCATTTTGAGACCGTCTACTGTGGGTCCACCCCTCAGATGCCTGGTCCATCTGTCCGTCTGTCGAGCATGCCTTTCACTGCAGATGATCTCCGATACAACCTGGCACGCGTTCCTTTGACCAAGGCAGTGGCTCCCGGCTCCCTGCAGCCTGCCGTGGTCAGATGCCTAGCGGATGACCTTGCCCAGATCTGTCATCAGTTGCTCGTTCGTGAGTGGTGCAATCGGAAGGTCACGATCCCGCAGCACTGGCAGGCGGCCTGGCTGACCCTCATTGCAAAAAGGGCAGTGCAGACCCAGAAAGATGCCAGGCCTATCGCCTTGACGGATGTCCTGGGCAAATGTGTGCTTCAAACCTTGATGCAGAAGGTCCGGCCGCATGTTTTGCCAAGTCTCTGTCAAGCTCCATTGTTAGGCTACTTACCCAATAGATCCACGATAGATGCCTTAATAGCGGTCTTTCATCACTGCCGCGATGTTCGTGCCAGGAGTCAGAGCGCTATGAAAAATTTGTGGCAGAGACGAGCGGGGGAAGCGCCCCGTCGAATAGGAGGGGGACTGTGTCTGAGCTTGGACCTTTCTGAAGCTTTCGATCGCATGCCTCGTGAAAGACTAGGTCCTGGACTAGATCAGGTAAACTGCCCCCCCGACCTTAAAGTCCTGCTCCTGGCCTGGCTGCATGGTGCAGCGTATCACATTGACCACCGGGGTCAATCCTGCCAGTTGGTACCCACCAGGGGAACACGCCAGGGCTGTGTGGCCTCGCCCCTCCAGTGGAATGTTTGTTTGCTTGACATTCTGATGCAATTTCTTGCTAGCATTGACCAGCCGCTGGAGTGGTTGAGGGCCCATCTAATCTCGTATGCTGATGACTTAGTGCTGAAATGGGAGTTTGACCATCTTGAGGATCTCCCCCGAGCACTGATAGACATCGGTCACCTCCTTGATGTCCTTGAGGCCAATCAACTAGTGGTCAATCTGCGGAAGACTGCCTGTTTGCTTCGGATGTCGGGCTCGAAGGTGGCGGGACTATTCAAGAGATGGACCAAACACAACAAAGGAGGCCGCTACCTCATTGTGCCCCGCCAACAAGGGGATTGCCTCATCCCATGGGTCTCACAGCACACCTATCTAGGAACCAAGATCAGCTACGGTCCTTTTGAGATGCAGACATTAAAGCACCGCATTCATGTCGGTCGACTGACCTACACTCGCCTTAGAGCATTTTTCCAACGCCGGCACGCGTTTAGCCTGGGGAGTCGAGTCCGCCTGTGGACGAGCTGTGTCCGGGCCTCGTATGTCTACGGCTTGGCCGCCAGTGGCATGACATCGAAAGGAGTAGACTTGCTTGAGACAGTTTGTGCCACAGATCTCCGCAGAATAGCACGTTCACCCTCCTACATCACACGTGAAACCACTGAGGCCCTGCGTTCTCGCTTGGGAGTTCCCAGCATCAGGGACTTCCTTCGCGATGCCTGGACCAGATTCAGAGTTGATCGAACAGGCCTCCTCAGCACATTGGCACCCGATGATTTCCTGCACACACTGCCGTATGCATCGCACTGTGATATTGTGTTGGAGGCATTGGTGCCTAAGCAGCCAGTTGACGCAGAGGCTCCTCCAGTCAGCTGGCAATGCCCGCATTGTTCGACACGCATGCCATCACACATGACCCTGATGCAACACATCACTCGAAACCATCCAGCACAAAAGATGGCCCCTCAACCGTTTCGAATCTTTCGTGATGCTGCAGGTGACATGCCGCAATGTCGACACTGCGGCGGCCAGTTCCAGCTCTGGTCAGGCCTTGTCAAGCACATCTCCCTGGGCCGCTGTTTGAAATTCGATGCCGCCCTGCAGGACCGTCCATGTCCAGCCGATGATCCTGAACTCCGACAGGCAGCCAGACAACAGGATTGGCTGGGGGTGGTGAGTGTGCCACGGCTACTGGACCTGATACGGAACAAGTGCATCCTCTGTGCCCAGTGGCAACCTAGTGGCAAGGCTATCCATGAACACCTGAGCCGAATGCACCACAAGATTTGGCATGCTGCACAAGCCTTCCTCAGCCCCATTGCTAGAGCCGTCACCACCAGCAGACCCTGCATTGGTTGTGGCAACAACACCAATCGTCTCCACTCCTGTCCGGCGGCCAGTCAACTGGCTATAGTGGCTTACCTCGAACACCACCAAATGAGAGGCCATGACGTGGTGGATGAACTGGTTGCCCCTCCCAGACCGTCCCAAGGGAAG